ACCGCTCTAACTGTCCGGAAGTTCTTCCTAATGTTTAGCCAAAGTCTCTTCTGATTGAATTTCAACCCCGTTGGTCCTGGTCCGAACTTCTGGGGCGTCATCCCCGACAGAGGTTCCTGCCATCCTTAAACCCCCTCTCTCAGACTCCGCCTTCAAATCTCCAGGTGTTTCTGAACCTGAGGTTGCCGGTCCTAATACCCGTAGTCTGGAGGTCAATAGTCCTTCCGGGAGATTTCCCGGGGCCCACCTGGAGGTGGGCAAGCCTGCTTCGCCCACTGGGAGAGAAGAAATGTGCTCCAGACGGCTCAGGCGAGCCAGCCAAGTTACGCGGGGGAAGAAAGACGCTGGGTCAGTGCGACTGGAATGTTTAAAATCCGCTTCCCTTGAAGCTCGGTTAACTTGGTTAGGCTTGCGCTCCCTTCTTCCTCCAGCTTTGCTTAGTCAGATGGCAGTTTGGGTACTTTGGGTGAGTTCGAAAGGGATTCGAACTCCTGTCCCAACTTGGCCTCGTCGCCGGCCCTCGGGACTGCAAAACAAGCGGGCGCATCGCGGTTGGAGCGAAGGGAGATGTCCTATTCCCCCCACCCACCCTGCGCCAGAGTGCCGAGAATTCTGTGAATATTTCCCGTCTCTCTTGGGAATGAGAACTGTAGCTACCCAGAAGGCCACAAGCAGAGACAGCGGAGCTCCTTGGCAAAGTCTTCGCGTTACCACCTGTTGAGCCTGGCAGGCGTTCAGAACTGGTATTAGGAAGGGTATTGAAAACAGATCAGCCAATATCATCATGCCCCTATATAAATGAATGGTGCGACCTCATTTGGAATACTGTGTGCAATTCTGGTCACCACACCTTAAAAAGGATATTATAGCTTTGGAAAAAGTGCAGAAAAGGGCAACTCGAATGATAAAAGGGTTGGAACACTTTCCCTATGAGGAAAGGTTAAAGCGCTTGGGGCTCTTTAGCTTGGAGAAACGACGACTGAGGGGTGACATGATTGAGGTTTATAAGATTATGCATGGGAACGAACAGGTAAAGAAAGAGGTACTTTTCTCCCTTTCTCACAATACAAGAACTCGTGGGCACTCCATGAAATTGCTGAGCAGTCGGGTTAGAACGGATAAAAGGAAGTCCTTTTTCACCCAAAGAGTGATTAACGCATGGAATTCCCTGCCCCAGGAGGCGGTGGTGGCTAC